CCTCCTGCGTGTTCTCTAGAGGACCATCCCTACCGTCTGCTTTTAATCCTTCTATTTCATAGCAGCCACTTTTCCTCAACTTAGAGTGTTTATTATCTGATTTTAACCAGATATTTGCTTCTGTTTAATATCTTCTATTCTCTTAACTCCCTTTAATGTGCCTCACAGAGCATACTTCTAAGCCTTGGCTGTACATCAGAATCATCTGGGATGCTTTTAAAAGTCAATACCCAGGTTACCTCAAGCCTCTGGGCTGGGACCCAGGCAACAATAATTTTTAAAATTACCCAGGTCATTCCAATGTGACTGAGAACCACTGCCAGAGGGCTGTTGCCAAGAGCAAGTTCACACACTTGACTGTGTAGCCCACAGTGGAAGAGGATAGTTTTTAATTCCACCTGTTCATTAAAGGTCTAAGAAGATGTCAGCATATTAAAATGGGGGGGAGGGCAAAGATGAAGGGAGTTGTGTAAATTCCTAGGTTTGAGTATATACACCAGCTTCACAAAGACTAGAGGGAGATTCAGTTTAGCCTCCATAAAAAATGTAGCTGGGAAGAAGTTCAGGAGGAGCCACTGGGTGTGTAAGTGAGTCCTCCAAAGGAACATGGCATTTTTGCCATTGATAGTAGCATTGCTTCTATACCTAGATGTAATTACTGTCATTTCTTCTCCTTGATAATAAGGTCTTATCTGGATGGCAGTTTCATTGATTCATTTATTCCTTCACCAAATATTGACTGTCCTGGAAATACAGTGGTAAACCATACAAAACTCCATGTTTTAATAGAGCTTACTTAATAGTGGGAAGGAAATAAATGTCATGTCCTGAGCAATTATAAGTGCTATGGAGAACGATAAAACAGAAAAAACAGTAGAGAGGTGTGGGAGATAATTAAAGGTTAAAAAGAAAAGATGTCACTAAGAAGATAAACAGTGAAGAAAGACCTGGAAGGAATGAGGGCTGCTCCAGGACCCAGATGGAGAGTGAGGTATGAGGAGAGCTTCAGAGGGGTAAGTGCTCTGGTCTTCTCTAGGACCCAGATGGACAGAGTGAGGTGTGGTCTGAGGAGAGCCTTCAGAGGGGTAAGTGCTCTAGTCTGCTCCAGGACCCAGATGGAGAGAGTGAGTTGTGGTCTGAGGAGAGCCTTCAGGGGGTTAAGTGCTCTGGTCTGCTGTAGATCCCAGATGGAGAGAGTGAGGTGTGGTCCAAGGAGAGCC